AGAGGGTTATCGGCTGTCCTTTCAGCCCCCTCCATAAAAAAATTTGTTTCTGCTAAACTGAAAGAGCGCAAAATTTTTTCTTTATAGATTTGACGAACGCATAATTAGTGCATAATTATATAATTTTTTAATTGAATTCGCACGAAGTCGGGGCTAGGCAGATGTCCAAATGTCTGTAGTTTAGTTATCCTTGCGCAATAATGCACTTTATATGTTACACAAAATTATATTGCCATCTATTGTTACGATAACATATACGATTTCTCGGTTCTTATCTATACTTCTTATCTATAGGCTTATCATTCAAGCTTTTCATAATTAAATTCTCTTGTATCGATAAATTTTACTGCACTTATTACTACATCAACGTTAGATGCCCTCGTACGATTTATATAAATATGTATATATTCAACACAATTAATACGACAAAGTATCTTTTTACAATAGCTAAAAACGTATCGATATATTATTATTATCTATTGCTCAATTTATAACTCAAGGTTGCGTTTTATCTTGCATATGCGTTTTATGTACAGCAACGTGCTGATTTGTGACATAAATTTTACAATTAGTTGATTTCATATTTTTTCTTTCTTCTTTTTTGCCTTCTATTCTTTCACTACTTTACAGTTGCCTAGCTATGTGATTGCATGGAATTAAGAAAGCGAATGAAAAACACAAGAGATACCATATAATCAATTTTCTTCGAAAACTAAAAGAAAAATATGACAGTTCGGTTATATTATTTATTTGTGCAAAAATTCAATCCCGTTTTCTATAAACACGGGTTGCATGAAATTTCTAACTGAAATATGACTGCGTATTAACCGCAAGCAGTAGCCCTAGTCGAGCAAACGTCAAGCAGAAACGAGCATTCGTTCCCTATTTCCAGCGAGATCAAACATTTGCGCATGGCGAAAAGGGAAAGAGAATATTATTCGGAGAACGACGTGCCAAACGAACGTCTCCTCGTTCTTTGAGGATTCGCTGGTAGTCGCCGAACAGTCTAAAAAGAGTCGCCATGTAGATTTTTTATCCCGTAGGGAGATCAAGGCGAATCTTCTTTTTACCCTCGAGATTTTGAAACGATATGCATTACCGGGTTGGAAGGAAATTGCTGACACACTTTATGCTATCGCAAAACCTGGGGCGCCAAAAATTCAGCAATTTCTTTGAAGAAAATATACGCAGCGCTGTGGTACGGCGCGTTATACCTCCCACTTTGCGCTGTAACTTTTCAAAAAGTCGTCTTATTCTGCACGGCTAATTCTCGCAGCTCTCTGTTAAAAGGAGCAACAAGAAATTTAAGGAATTTCGAAGTAAAACAAGGAGACAAGTCCCGTTGTTCGACCAAGTCATTAACCGAATTTTCAGAGGTTCGCGTTCGGGAAAGAGGAAAATACGGAGCGCAAGCGGTCCCTCATTAGCGACGTTTGTCAGTCATCTTGCTCGGAGCCCTCTTTTCCCTCAGTAACTCTCCTTGCTTCATTTTCTAAGGACTATTCTCGCTTCCCTCATTATGCTCCGCTCGCCACGGGCAAAACGAGCATGATAATATGTGGAAGAGAATAGCTCTCGCACGACGGGGAACGACGACCTTACGCGCCAAAATGTCACTTCGCACCTAGTGCGCTCGTGTTTTACAGTGTACGTGTGTTTAGAGTGTTTGTACACGTCGTTTTACAAATAAAAATTTTTACGTTCTAAAAATTGCCGGAATTCTACGTGTAAACACTCTCGTATTTCGCACGAGTGTATCCTGTACGCAAATATTGATCAAATTTGTTATAAAATATATAATAAACTCTTACTAAATATAAATGTTTAAAACTATCATTGTAACAATTGGGCATATTGCTGGATGAGAGCAACGCAAAATGACGAGTATACGGAGATGACGAAACCCTTCGCAGTCTCTTTTTCCTGGAATTAAGACTCTTCTAAATTCAAACACGAAGGGCAGACAACAAGGTCCTCCACCGTCTAGCAGCCGGGTTGCGCGACATTAATGTTCTTCCTTTTTCCGAGTAACGAAGGGGTTTCACTCGAAGAAAAAGTATGCTCGTTATAAAGAACTGCGACGCGTTTGAACGACGTGTCTAGAAAAAAAAGCGTTTTCCCGGCTACGAATATGAATCCCGTTCAAATTTGATTTAGATCTATTTCGAGAGACATCTTTCACTTAAAGCAACTGCATCTTCGATCATTAGGCTAATAATACAAAGTAATCTTTTCCTCTCATGTAAAAATACCCAATTGAGTTGGAATCAAAAATATCTCGAGTATTTTCAAAAAGTTTAGAAGTAATAGTTTTTATTGGCAAGAGTCAATAAATTGTCAAGTTTGTCACATGCTGCTTAATGAAGCACACGTTACATAATCAGCTTTTCCTATTAGATATGTAAGCGTTATTTTTAACGCCTGCGTGAAATGTCGTGGAAGCACACGCTCGGACGCATGCACGCACGCACGCACGCACGCACGCACGCACGCCTGAGGAACAACCGGCGGGTACGTTCTAAATCCGCGTACCGTGTAAATCATCGCGCTCACGTGCCACGACCGGCTGCGCTTAAGTGCACGAGAGCTCCTCGGTCTGAACTTTTAATCGTTTTTCACGGTTTTTCTCGCCGGGCGTATCCGTGGCGATGCAATTCTCTTCGTGGTAATATCGCAGCACGCATTCGCGTGGATAGAGTCGGTAAAAAAACTGACGGTCATTATGCATTATTATTGTCATTATCGTAACTGTGATTGTGTGTCGACGCCAACAACCATTAATCATTACTCAACTATTAATCAAACGCGCAATTAAGTACTAAAGCATCGAACGTTAAATGTCAAAAACTTTCACAGCGAATTCTTTCGAGAAAAAATTGCTTGCAAAGCGATTGAAGATTATTCGAAGGTCTCGGCTGTTGGAATAGTCTGCAATTTTGCAATTAAAATTGCTTCTTATAATCCGGAGCTTGCAACACGGATTCTCGTTTCACGATTCTGACTTGTGACGAACGACTCTCGCGTTCTCCGAGATCTCGAGTGTGTAACGCATTTCCCGCGATGCGATGCGGTGCGATGCGAAGCGAAGCAAAGCGAAGGGAGGGATTATCTCCCCGGGAAGAGATACGTACAATGAGATACGATGATCTTCGCCAAGAACGACCGGGTTGCTTGCGAGAACGAAGATGCAAAGAACGGGATATGTAACCGTGGCGCGTGGCCGCGAGCACGCAAGTGCGTGAAGACGATGATTTACGTGGACGCGAATTTAGACCGGTAGTGCAACCCCTTTGGTTATTGCTGGAAGAAACGGTGGATTAGCTGCGCATTTTGTACGCCAGACTACAGCGCGCACTATACTTACGCGCCAATATTCTCATCTCGAAACATGCGTGGAAAATATGACGCGAATTACAGATACCAGAGTTGAAGTAAACAGCGTGTTAAAATTACTTTGATACGTTGTAAGAGAGTCGGATACGCCGAGCCGAGAATAAAATTTCCTTATAATTCAGTTAAAATCGCGTTCAATCTAAATTGATTCACGCTACAAACCAGTTTTTGTAAAATAAAACAACTTTACATTTCACATCTTTACTTGCCCTTATCTCGCGTTTAAACTTGCCGAGTATATTCGCAAAAATAATAGATTTCGTAATTTAGATCAAAACTAAATATAAGATTGTGACGAATCTTTTGCATAAAGCATAAAAGCTTAGAAGAATTGAAATTTGCATTTTTTAAATATAATTCTTAAAAGTTTAAATTAAAAAACTTCAATTTTTTAAGTTTTGTTTTTATAAGTTAATAATTCAACTGAGAAGTAGTTATATACGTTCGTAAAAAAAAACGCTTATTTTTAAGCGCTTTAAGCTGAACTACCCCTTTAAATAGCGCACAAAGCAGCAACACTGTTCGTATCGTTCCTCTTGGGGTGTCACTTGTTTCTTGTTTCACGGCCGATCTTTCCTCCGCCTTCACGCTCAAAGGATGAAAACGACGAGAAGAAGAGAACGGTCGAGGTATAATGGAATGGAATTCGAGAGGAGCGAGAACGGATCTCTGTCGCTCGGAGGAGAAATATGACCGGTAAGACGCGGCGGTGCGCTCTTTGACGTAAAATCGCCGCTAAATCTAGAATCGCGTCTAGAAAACGCGACAATGGTCTCTCGCTCGACAATACGATACTCTAAAACGCGAGTCGATCTGGACGATATAACGACAGCGATCATACAAGCGATATCTCCATCATCAAGAAAAAAGCGAAAAAAAAAAACGAATGTTCTGTCTTCTATCGACGAAGACAAAACTCATCAGCTTCTCTTTAACAGATTTACATTTATAATAAAGGACATGGTAGTCTGAAAAGAAGCCAAGAGGATACATAATTACGCGAACAATTTTCATGTTGCGACAAACCGGCGACGCTTATGGACGGAACCTTTTATTACGGCCATTAACTTTAATGCTACGAAGCGATGTGCTTCGCTCCTGCAAGGGTATCCTTCTCCGCGAGCGGTATCACGATTTCCACAGCCGCGTCGTTAAGCAAAAGCTGCATCGTATAATACAACGACGAATCCTCTCGATCAAAAAGATAATGAAATTAATTTTTCTTAACGCAACATGTCTCGTTAAAAGAGACTTGTGTAGCGACACAAGGATCTCCCTGTTGTTAAAAGAATTTTCATCCTTCTCGTCGCAGTTTAGATAGACAGATAGAAAAACCCTTCTGATCATTCCGGACAAGATGCTGTCGAATAAACAAAAAAAATAACGCGAGTTTCTAAGAAAACTTAAAGTTATGTTTTACAAATATTCAGTATACACACTTTTATCCTGCAATCAGAATTTCATCTTTAATTAGAGATTTATTTAACTGGGAACTCACCGATCGATGCGCAGCAGCGAAGTTGTAGTTCTGCTAAGTCGTAAATCTGTAAAATACAAAACAACATTCAAATTACAGCAGCGTTTAAAATAATATTTAAAAAATATAATAAAATAATTATCGAGACAAATTTTATCGTTTGAAATAATAATAAATATGTTAAAAATCTAATAATCATAAATATTAAAAAATGCAAATATTATATTGAATGCAAGTAATAACAAATAAATAATTAATTGCAAATAAGGAATACAAAATAAATAATTAATTACCTCAATGTTGCTGCGCCGGCGCCTGATGCTTCTCCTAAGCCTGGTCCTCCTCTAACAATTAGTCCTCACAGTTCTTCACAGGCACTCACTCGCGACCGCACGCATTGCACGCGTGCATTTTCGAATTCGAAAATCGCGCGACACTGTAAACGGCACTCGCGATGTCACCAGTAAACTTAAGCAAAAAATCTAAAAACGACGTTATGCGTAAACGTTATGCGTTTAATTGATCGACTCGCGGCAATGGGTACGTTAGCTTCTCCTTCAGGATCAACCATCCGGATACTGAGCCCTCCCACCACGACAAGGTGTACCCATGGGAGGGTAAAATTATATTTTATTCCAATCCGAAAAAATATAATTTTAGTAATGCCAGTAAAATAACCTAAAACAATTTTCAATATTTAAAGTATTTTACTAACTCGTGTTATAATGTATAAAATATGTGTAAATATACATGTAAAAAGTAATCAAGATTAAACAACCGCGGAATAAAAATCGAAATTGTTGAATGTGGAAGCTAATAACAAAAAGTTAATAACGAAAGCCATCAATCGGTAATTATTTAGAAAGAATATGTTATATTATATATTATATCGCGATTGTGATTTGAAAAGATAATTATGATAGAGATAGTAGGGGTAGTATTGGAAGAAAACGCATCGATACGGAACGATTTGATCCTCAGAAGGACGGGATTAACATAATAAGAAATATTTTATATATATTGCAAGATATTCCTTACACTCAAAATTTTCATTTCGATAAATAGATTATGGCCTAATGCACAGAAATATGAATGATAGCATGCGATATAACATAGATATAACAAAAATATAAAACGCTCAGACAAGAGTGTGCACGCCGTGACGCAAGAAAATAGCGTAAACAACCATCAAACGCTGCCTTGAAACATTTAACATGAAATAATTTACGTATCACAAGATTTTAAATAAAATCGTTTTCTATAAAAGTATAGTGAAAATTTTTACCAAAAGTATTATTTTAATATATGTATGTATATTTCATTATAATATTTAAAAAAATATTTTATGTAAAAAAATTCGACATTGTTGTCTACCGAATGAGATATTAACTATCTATAAATGCGTGGAGTGTGCGTATCATCGTCTGACTATGCCACTGGCAACAAAACGTTGTAGCATTAATAAAACATAATACTGTACACGTGCGTGTAAAAACAGACGATAGGAAGATCCCCCCATAATAGTATTAAACATGAGAACATGAAAGGGACCGGCAGATTTTATATACAAAAAATTTCAAACATCTCGCCATATTTTTCTTGATTACAAATTCTTTGATTTAATTTGCTTCTTTAAAGCGTCATGTATTTAAAAATTTTTAAGAAATAAGATTGGAAAGTACTGATGCTTCAACTTGGAAATACGTAATTGCCATCCTTCTTGCTATGCTTCCACTTTCCGTGTTAGTCAGAGAAGTAAACTTTCAGCACATTAATAAATCCGCGACAAAAGCGACAAAAGTGGAGTGTTATCCCTTTAGATTAAACTTTACGAACGCGGACAACAGACGCTGCACTAATAATGCTCGCACGTCCGTGTGTATTTTACGTCTCGTCGCTTGCGCTCGCTATGATACGCAAATAGAACCGCCGGTGGAGACGTCCAACTGTCTGGTGCACTCGCAAAAATAGGATTGTGTCGCACCGTCATGTATCGCCAATGTTACGCGACAAAATCGCGGAGAATCGAGGCTAGAAAACGAAAACGATTCGCAATTGCTTTTCGAAAAGATTCAAATTTACAATTTTCAATTAACGCACGTCAGTCTGCGAATATAAACAGCTTGCCTCACAAACAGGTTTCGTCGTATAAATCAGTTAGTCACATAAATTTCTACAAGTGATATTAATCTTGCAAAATCTTTCACGCGAATATTCTATCTATTTATAATAAATAATTACTATGATTGAGCAACAATTTTTTTATAATAAAACTGTGCATATAATATTAATATAAACGCACGAAGTAAGAACTATATATTCAAGATGTTTAATTTTTCCATTATTTTTTAATGGTTGATTCTTTAATCGAGAAAAATCGGTTATTTCAGTTTTCTTGGTTATTTCTGTTTCAATCGCTCATATCTCAAAAATGACTAATGCCTTGACATATATTCGCTAATAAAACGTCGATTCCAAATTGGTTGAAAAATTGTCAAAAAGTAATACGCGGAAAGCGGGACACGCTTAATATATAATACTTATATAATGATGCGTGTAATATTTAAAAATAATTGCGAGCGTCGGATTTTGAAAGTAAATATTCTAAGTACGCAGCTTACGTAAGTGCAGCGAACGCGCGGTCCGCATCGCAACGTTCGTCTTACGATTCGACGGCACTGCACTCGCGCGACGACGATGAACTCGCGCGACTCCATTGCGGTAGACGCGTCGCCCTTTACGAGCGAGATGGCCTTTTTGCCGTCTGTGTTTGCTTTCAACGCGTAAACGGCGCGAGGGTGGCATTTGTCCCAGACATTGCCAGACTCGCGAATAATCCGGAGCAATTCCAAGAGCAATCGCGCTGATCGACGCGTCCAAGACTGCGGTCTCTTTCTACGGCGGTGCGGCGCAAAGAAACGATAAATTTCGCTAAAGATGACACATTCAACAAATAAGAAGAGACTTTACGACGCTTTTTTTTTTACGAGAGCCTTTTTTGGCATAAATCAAGCTCCCTATTTTATTAATTTAATAGCGCGATAACTTTAAATTTGATTTACGATCTACTTATAAATTCGGCAATTCCCAGCTATTATGTGTCTATTTTATAACTCAGGTTCAACATACAAGTGTCGGGTCGCTCTACGGGCGGTCGTCTTCTTTCTTCCTTCGATATGTATCTGTCTATGCGTGTCCCCGATCGTTTGCGTTAATCTAAGCGTGGCGGATTATAGAACGGATGATTGCGCCGTAAGCACGAGAATCACGTAGAGCGAGTACCGTCGCTAATACTTAAAGGGTATGCACGATACAGGTCACGCGAAGGTGCGCTTCCTGTTGGCGTCGCATTCGCTGTTCCGTGTACTAACGAGTGTTGTCGTGTAACCAGGAACTAGTATCGCACGTGTACACGTTGTGTAGTACGACATTACGGAAATGTCAATGTTCACGTCTACGGAAGATGATAGACGGACTTGGCTTCCTAATTTTCCATTTCTCTCAATTCACAATCGAGTAATCAATTTTATTTCATTATCAAATAACTTTTACTTAAGAAAAATAATTACAATTATATAATTTTTAATCTTTATCCCTATCAGAAAATTTGCAATAAATCTGTTCAAAATTACACGACAGTTGAAAGATAAATAAAGTTATCAATTTTAAATAATTTTTAATTGTGAAATTAATTATAATTATATAATTATATATATATAATTTTATATAATAATATATAATTTTATATATATATATATATGATTTTTAGCTTTTATCTCTATCAGAAAATCCGCAATAACAGATGTTTAAAATAACATGACAGATGAAAGACAAAGCGCCTTTCCATCCAGTTTCTCTGGAGAATTCCGTTACTTCAAACGCGCCAGCGATGCGGCTGTTTCAAAGTATTCTCTTTTCTACCCGGTTCCTTCTTCGTCTCTGTTTCTTCTCCATCGGGCACGACGGGGTACGCCGGCTATTCCTGGGGCTGATGTCGAGGTGGAGGCGGAATGCGCGCGTCCTCGGTAAGCCGCGAAAAGGTGACAGGTGCCGAGTGCTTCTATAAATTGCAATCTTGAAAGAAAGAGGGGGCGAGAAAACGAAAAAGGTCAGAGGATGGAGAGAGAAAGAGGGAAGAAACCGCGAAGTGACCCCTAGGTTGCTATCTTTAGCCAGTTTGTAGGCCCTAACTGCTCTCCCTTCGGAACACGTGCGTCGACGAAACATCATTTCTGCTTTCGTACATGTCATTGACGTTCAATGCTCGCATTCGATAGACTTCAAACTCGAATACTTAAGAGAATGCGCGTGAGAGTTTCCAGAACAAATTGAAAATTCGCGCAAAAGATCATACGAAGATCCTGTTTCTCTCAGAAATCGCAGAATTCTTACGAGGCGCTACGATCTAATAAACATGACGTTAAGCCGCGAAAATGAATTGATATTCATATTTCGGGACAGGAATTAAGGTTTCTGGAATATCCCGAAGCTCAATGAATTCTCGTTGGCACCGTTGGCCAGGTTGGAATCACGCAAGTGTATCGATTATGAATGAGTCTCCAGGTCCATTCAGCTTGAACGTGACCCAGCGTCCCAGAGTCTTGGTACATCCCCGACTCATCTAGAAGCCCGGTCACTTTCATTCTGCGACACTCGCTTCGCCGTCAAACCGCTGTTACGACTCCGAAATGCCTTGCATACTCCGAAAAACAAAAATAAAGACGATGTTGAATTGATGTTTAAAGCGTGTGATATCAAATTGCGACATGCATATATATATATATATAAGTATTATTTACTATATATAAATATTATTTAACTTATAAAGCTTCATTCTTCTCTATCGCATATTCATGATATTTCCACCATAAATTTCCAAAGATTTAACATAATTCTTCCCTATATTGCTTTCTTAAATTTCTAGTTTGCAGGAAGGAAATGATAATTAGTATTAAAATACCAATTGACGATCACGGATATAAAAATTCGCGCAAAAGTTTATCACAGAGTCGTGATTGCGACTTAAGTACACCATTTGCTCTCGTTGCTCCTGGCAGAAGAGGTGCACATGAAGATTAACATCGCGCGCTGCGGATATCCAACCGTGCGTGGAGTCCACTACTAGCGGGCCTCTTGCCTACTCCCTCCTTTGCATCCGTATCGCGTTCGCGAACCCTCGGCGGTTCTCTGACGACAGTAACTATTTCCAGACGCGTTTAATTAATCTTGAACCAAAAACGTCGAGTGGAAAATGGCGGACGGGCGGTCGGTTAGGCTCGGGCACCGGCCACCTGGCAGAAATAGCAGCCGTGGAAACGGCTCCACCGACTTGACGTTTCCTCCGCGTACGCGAGCGTGAGAGAAACGGAACGACAGAGAGGCGAGGGAAACGAGAGTAATGGAGAAATAAACAAAATAGACTTAGCACCTGCTAATCGCTGTCTCGTCATCGATGTTTTCGAGACAAGCAATATCTGATTCACTCGCCCGATTTCCCGATCGGCGTTTCATCCTAACTCTCTCGATAATCTGAATATTTCCGTGTTCTTAAATCTGTCAAGTCATGATATATTTTTAACAAAAAAAGATATTCCAACATTTCTGCATTTACGCAACGTTAAATAATTTCTCAATTTTAATATGTCGCACCTATCCATTTCTCAGTGTCATTCGCGGTGCGGATATACTTAAGCCGAGTGATTCATTAGCGATTTTGTGAGACGCGAGAGGAGGAGAGACGATTTCCCGTGGCCGTCGATTTTTCTGCGGACGCTTGCCAGGTAGAGTAGCACGAGAGATTTCCTTTTCTAATTCACCAGGTCAACGGATATCCGTAGACGCAGGTTCCGAAAAGTGGCCGACTTGCCGCTAATAATAACCGTCCACTCTCAGTATCTTGTATACACGTTTGAGGCCGGATTTATATTTTGCGGTGCCGGAAACCGATTCCGAAATATCCCGTGCAAGACCGCGGAAGTATTAAAAGAGAATAATCCGGTGGTCCACTCTTGGATCGAAGGCGTAAGCAAGCGCGGCGGCGGCGTCGAAATCTCCGCCCACGAGAAACGTGTCCCATGCCAAAAACACGGGATCGGTTTCGTGGCAAACGACGGTGGTTGACGGATCGTTGGCTTCCCGTAGATATATTACGATCGGATACGCGTATTTCCGGGAACTTTGAGTTACGAAAGGAATTTCTACTGATAAAAAAAGAACTCTAAATTATCTTCAAAATTCTACGTCGCATTCACGTATTAAATTGCTTTTACATTTTATCAAGGTTCGATTCAATTAAATCATAGTACATTAATTAAAATAGTTGTAGAGATAACGCCGCTTTGATGCTTGGTTAAAAAGAACGCAATAAATTTGCAATTTCTACTAGCAATTTTAACACTGTTGCTATTGACTGATTTGCAATTAATAATTTAATTTCCCGTCAAGGCACATAACTGACAAACCGGCCGCACCGGTCACTGCTCGAGAGATTTAATCGAAACAAATCACGTCGATTTGCTACATTGTTGTATGCGAGATGCGAGCATAATTGCCCGGGTTTCTTATTAGAAATGAGATCATACTGTGTTGCACGTTCAATTATCGCGCGAGCATCGGTCACGAAAAAATAATTAAGCGCATATGAAAAATGAGGATGTCCGAGAACATTTAATCTCGCGTGTGAGTGGCGTGTGCTGAGATAAGCCACTTTGATGCGGCTGCAAGGTATACGAGATGATAAGAATAGCAGATAAGAATATCTTCCCGAGTTACCCGCGTTGTTTTTCAATGAAGCCAACCACCATAAAATTTCATATCGTCTTGAAACCATCAAATTGCTATACATTGTTTGCGCGCTTAATTATGACTAGTGGCTGGTTATAAATTTGCGGCGTAGAATATTGTTTCCTTTAGTTATATTGTAGAATAATTATGTCTTTGATTGCTTAATCAAATAAGCTAAATTTAATTAAACTTAAGTCAAAATTGATATTCCCTAACGTTTGCACTTTCTTTTTAAAATTTTAATATGACCGATAGAGTTTCTTCCTAAAGATATCCAAAGTAAATCGATAGTTTAAGAAAGAATCGATTGCATAGTATGACGTGATAACGTGACAAACACAAATGAGTGCATCTGCCGATTGTGGCGGATTGCTAAAAGATTGCAAGAGAAAATTTTCAATTTGATTTGGAAGCGCGTACATCAAAATGCGCGCAAAACGTCTTTAATGTCACACGTCGAGAACGCGGAGCCTAAAAACGGCAGCGAATGTACGAACGATATAGGTTAGCGTTATTCTTTTTCTACATTTGACATTTTTCAGGTTAATATATTTTAAGTTAACAATCTAATAATGTAATAACGCAATTATGGTGATTGCGTATAATAGAAGATACACAATCTGCCTTGCTGTCTGCCAAGCGTGACTCAGAACGAGATATGATTTCTGTTTTAATAAAATTCCTAAAATTTGACTTGCACGCGTTACTTTCATGATAAATTACATATAATATTTGGTATATATTTACATTTATTAGTGGCAAATGAAATAAGATTGAGAAATTCCAGCGAAGAAATTCAAATAACGCTCCAAACGAGCCGAATTTTGGATAATGCAAAATCTAAATCTAGTCCAGAAACAAGTGGGAGTGATAAAACATGTCCCGATAAGCAATCGCGAGATGATAAGGAAGGTATATCATACACAATTAATTGCTTCTACAAAAAGAACTAATATTAATATTCGTCAACGCTGCGCAAAATAATTCTGCAATAAGAAATCAATCGTAATATTCGAGTGGAATAATTTCGAATAAAACAAAATAATTTCAGATGCATACATCACCTCTGGTGATATTTGCAGAATTTGTCACATGGGCGGATATGCCCCAATTGCAGACAATCACTCGTCGTGTGAAGATCGACTCGATCAGACACAGACACCGTTAAACTTCGTTTATCTCGGTCCTTTGATTTCAGCCTGCAAGTAAGCTCTTGGCTCACAATAAGAAAAAAATAATTCTCCGTTTACTGCAGCTTTAAAAAAAAATCGCGATCAAGAGACACATTATCGAGATTCTTCGATCCGAATGACGCGCGCGTCGATGCACAAATTGACGGATTATCCCGGAAAAACTGCGCGTTAATTTAATTAAGGTTCGCCTCTTTCTTAACGTTCTCTCTCAGTGTTTAACGATACGACAGGTGCCGAGGTACGGTGGCTCTCGTACACACCGAGTGCCTCGAGAGATGGTTGACCGAGTCCGGTCGCATGAGATGCGAGCTTTGCGGCTACAAGTACGCGACCAAAAGAGTACGGCGTTACAGCCTCTTCCGAAGCGTTATAATATGGTTCCACGCCGTAATAGCCACTCGACAGGTGAGTCAGATCGTTAGCTCCCGTTTCGCCTCCTCGCTTTCATTCCGCGCGTCGAACTTAAAAGTCTAAATGACACAATTTCATTAACATACAAAAATATGCCGCATTAAACATTTTTTTTAATTAATGATAGAAATATTATACGACTACAAAATACCGATATTATCGTCACATCGATGTTACGTGAAATTAAAGTTTTATATTACAAATTGATCTCACGGCATATCGTTTGAATATCGTTCCGTTTAATTAGGCTTTTAATTATCATTAATTCACTTTATTTAATACGTGTTCGTCCGTGAGAAGATGTTACTCGACATCGGGTACCTGATGATGACCACGCCTGTGGCTGCGTTCTCCTGTTATGTATGCGCCTTGGCCTTGAAAATGCTGCTGCAAAACAGCTTTTACGAGATACCGTGGATGATAGTCGCTATGCTGCCAACCTGCTTATTGACGCTGATAGCTTATTGGCGATGGATAATTACGTTAGGGAGGTACGCCGTTAAATTTAAGTCAGTTCGCTCGTGCGCGGACGAGAACGATCGTTAATGGAAAATGAGTTAATTAAGATATTACCAAGTGCGATTATGTAATTATAAAAATTTGGGACGAAGTCGCGTCTTAAAGTAATGTCAGTTACAAAAAAAAAAAAAAAAACTTAAAAAGCTTCCGTGTTGTGAAGAAAAAGACGGACAGAAACATCAGCATAAACCATAATTGTGGAAAGTATTTCTCGTACTACAGATTGCACGGTCATCGATGGAGACGTTACTGGAGAAACAACTTTGCCATTCGTTTGATACCCAATCACGAAGACAACAACGACCTACAACAGTCGAGTGATCATTTCGATGCGCAAGAGGACTTCGAGCAATGGAGGATCTTCGAGGAGATAGAAGAATTCGCGCAATAGCCAATTTAATCGCTACAACCGTCTTCTACTTTTTTGCTCGCATTCCCATCCCCTTCGTCGGAGCTGTCATACAGCTGCACAATATTTAATTACATTTTATTAACGGGGCACTTCAATTGAAGCTCATTGCCGCGCAACGAAGACGATTTGCCGCATCAAAGTTAAATTACGATGCGCGTCATCTGATCGCGCTTCCGGATACGTATAATTACGTCTGAATTTTATAGTAATATATTTTGTACTTTACAATTCTAGTGCTTGATTAAAGTAACTTAAAAATTATCAACCTCTCCCCCCCGACATGCGTTCATCTTCCACTCGTCGTTAAGTTGAACGATTTAATTAAGCGGTCGGCTAATAATTTCAGCACATACCTCTGCACTTTCTCTTATAAAAAAAATCTGATATTTCGCTGCGCAAAATTTTTTGCTCGAAAAATAGGATTCTCGGTTAATGCCGGCAGTTGCCCGATCGATTATCATTATCCGCGATGGCTTCGCAATAAGCTCGATAATGGGGCACACACTATCGCAAGATGATTTTGTTTAAACGATTCCAGTTGACTGGACAACTTTAGTCCGCAAGGAAGGTTGATAAAAGCCGCGACGCGCGATCTTAATCAACTTTGCGTCCGATAATAAGAACCGCTGCTCGAAACGTCGATCTACATATTATTTACATTTTAATGCGTGATAATAACCGGCATAATTGTCCGGCAACGTATTTGATTCATTATGGAATAATTATGATTATCCACGAGTTTCACGCTTTTCATTCGAGAGGGCAAGAAATATCGTCTATAAAAACCGTGTTGATTTTCACACATGCAAAAATTTGTAAATAAAATTAATTTACCGAACCACAATTTGCTACAGTAATAATTCATCGATTATTTCCACTTCAATCACTCGTTCTTGACTTATTATTGAAATTGTTGAAACTCGTCTGTCTAATGCGTCTAGGCGAAGCGTCGAGGAAGAAATGAATCTTTAATGCAGCATCCCTGCGGATGCATCCGGTTCTTCCAGATTCTAAGGGGCGATGCGCGGAACCCTTCGTGTGCGCTGCTCCTACACTCGAAAATAAAAAGAGGCGAAAAGGATACCGGCGACGAGCAGCGCATTGCAGTGAATCCTTTCCTGCTCTTGCGACAAAAAATAATATTTATGCGGCGGATATTTGTCTCACTGACAGACATCTCTTGCCACCGGTGGATTTACTACGAATCCGTAGTCCTTAAATTTCCCAGCCCACTCTCTTCACGTAAAGGTTAGAGAAGTTCTATCAAAGTCTTTCTGTATTTCACAAAATAAACTCTAACTTTATCAAGATATTTGTTCCGAAATATTTCTTAATTTAGAATGTTTTGTATATCAATATTGATAAAAAAACGTCTGACTTCCTGCGGTCGTTAAAGCGGTCTAACAATTTAGTAGGCACGAGCCAATAAATCCTGCCCTCCTCGAATCGCGTTCTCCTGTGCATCCCCTCATCCATTTTATAATTAAATCACTAAACTTATGTACGCGCGGTGGTCTTCGTAGGAAGCGTTGTTAACATAATTACGGGAGATACAATGTTGGAAGCGTGCCGCTCCGCCTCGCTTCTCGTCACATTACACGACGATGCGGCGTGCATTTATTCGAATATGTGAGCATCATTATGTGCGAAATCAGTTTATGTTTCGGTAAACTATAAAATGGCGTCTTCTATAAATTTAGCTGCATCGATCGCTTAGACGTAACGTGAGAGATGGAAATTTGAATAATAATTCAGATCTGTTTTAAAGACTTAAAATTCTCTCGCTCAAATATATAACTCAAGATTAAATAACTATCTTTATGATAACGTTGTATTTTCACCATCTTTTAGCATTAGCATTTATCGTCTTGATTTTTCCCGTTTTTGCTGCTACTGCCACGGACCGATTCACGAGAAGATAAAACATATTATAGTAATGACGTAGATATAACTCCATCAACTTTATAAGACCACCCGGGTGCGCTATTTTAATTATAAGAAATTCCGGAAAAATCTCTGGAATTTTTTATATCTTTGTAATGAAAATAAGAAAAATATAA